TCACAAAAACTATGAATTATCCTCCTTTAATGATGAAATTGATGAGTATTGGAGTATAATATGTATATGAGAGGTCTCTTATATGTATTTTGTTGTTAGGTATTTGTAGGAGTGGAAAATTGGTTAAAAATCACGTCCAAATTGATTTCCAAAAGAGTTCCAATTGAATAAGAAAAATTGTCGTGCGGATTTTTTCTTTGCACAATAGTCAGTATTTTAGCCATAACTTTCTCTACCAATAGCTGATTGAAGCGATTTAAAGTAAGTTGGAAAGAAATCTCAAAGGGCTACAACTTTGATAGAAATAGAATTTTTCCAATTCGTACGTTTACTATGCAAAACATGGGTCTAACATTTTGGCTAAAACTCTGGAATATAACTTGTGCTATTGGAAATTAATTTTTGGCTCACTGCAATGAAGAACAATGAAGTCCTTGCTGAGGAGATTTTCGAGCGTGATGAAGGGGCTCTTAAATTTCTTAAAGATATCAAGTGGTTCAGAATTGATAATCCTAAGGGCTTCAAGCTTGAATTTTACTTTGATACTAATCCATTCTTCAAGAACTCTGTTCTGACTAAAATTTATCAAATGATCGATGAAGATGAACCCATACTTGAGAAAGCAATCGGGACGGAGATTGAATGGTATCCAGGGAAATCTTTGAATCGGAAGATACTTAAAAAGAAGCCTAAGAAGGGTTCAAAAAATGCAAAGCCAATTACTAAAACTAAACAATGCGAAAGCTTTTTCAACTTCTTTAGTCCACCCCAAGTACCAGAGGATGATGAAGATATTGATGAAGATGCTGTTGAAGAACTTCAAAATTTGATGGAGCAAGATTATGACATTGGGTCAACTATTCAAGATAAAATTATTCCCCATGCTGTATCATGGTTCACTGGAGAGGCTGCTCAGGAAGAGTATGGCGATATTGAAGATGATGAAGACGAAGATCTTGATGACGAAGAGGATGGAGACGATGAAGATGATGAAGATGAAGACGATGAAGATGATGATGAGCACGAAGATGAAAGCAAGGCAACGAAGAAGTCAGCAGTTGTGCGCAAGAAGAGTGGAAGAGCCCCAGCTGCTGACGGTCAGCAAGGTGAGAGGCCTCCTGAATGCAAGCAACAATAGTTGTCTGTTGAGATGTGATGGGTGAATGGTCGATTTTGGCGTGTTTCAGATCATATATTTATGTAGTTCTAGTGGTCTTCTAGTATTTATTCTCTATTTCCTACTATTCATTACTTGGGAATTTTATTCATTTTCGGTTTCTTGTTCGAGAGGAAGTGATCGAGTAGTACTAGATATGATGTACCTTGATTTTGATGCTGCTTGTTGGATTATGATGCCTGTTGAATCTTAAAAAAAAAACACACACACACAAATATGCAAAATTATTTTGTTAGACAATATAACTTTTTACCTCAGTATTTGAAATTACAGCACTAAATCTACAAATTGTTTAAAAGTCATAATACCAAACCAATATCCACCATTTTAATGCAAAATTGACATGTGTGTGAAGAATTAAGTAGACAATTATGAATTTACAACTTGTTTCAATTTGCAAACCTCTATGGTCAAATATATCCTTTCACATCTTGTAACACACCACCAAACTTATTCATTTTACTCTTTTCCCAGTGTACAATCTAAGGTTGAATTTTTCATTACTATCCTCACCCTCTCTAATTCAGGTGGACTCCACTAATTGTAAGTCAACATATCAATAAATAAGGATTCTCCAGTTCTTTGATTACTTTTACATCTAGGACAAAACTAAGCTAATAATCTATCGTCAAAAGTCAAGTTTTCTCAAATAAGTGTTTGGAGCTTAACTAGGGCATTTTGTGCGTCTTCTACTTCATACACTTTTTTTTCAAATTTATTTTTTGCGCACACACTCTCTCTTCAGCTTTCTATATGACTCATGTAACGAGTTTTTGGCCAATGACTCTCAAATCAGATAATTTTAGGGAACATGTTGTAAATACCCTAACAGACTTAATAACTCAAGTCATAAAGGCTACAAAGAGATATCTTTTATATATTTTTCTACCATGATTAGTGCAATACCCTTCATTAAACACCTATCTAATCAAATCGACAATTAACTTAAAACTTTTGCCCAATTTTATCCTAATAATTTAAGACAATACATACATAAGTTTTCATACAAGGAATCCCAGTTTACATTGTATCTTCATACAATCGTACATTCATCCCCAAATTATGCTAAATTTGGTCTAAGGATCATTAATATATGATAGTTTTGGGTATAGATTTATGTTCAATCTATCAACCTATCCAGCATATGAATCAACTTATTACATCATGATAAAAACTCAATTCTAATGTGTGTATAATATCAAGTTTTGCAGTGTTAAGCATCAATCAATCTAGTATGCAACCTATCCACCATTCATAAATCAACTCCAAATCTTAAATTTATCGATATTGCAAGTTAGGTTATCTAACTCAAGCTAACAACCAAAAACAACACACACATACACACACACACACATACACACACACGCGCGCGCACACACACACACATATATATTATTTTATGTTATTTTTTTTAGTTTTTTGTATTTTTCTATTGTATACTAAAGTAATAACGAAAAACAATCACATAAATACTTAAAAACACACGAAAAGTAAAACCTCAAAATTTTTTCTACCTCCAAACTTAAAACCGACATTGTCCTCAATGTCATGAAATATAAATAAGAATATAATGGATGGGGAAGAAAAGCAAAACGGTACTTCCTGAATTTTTCTATTGAATGTGTGAGGAGTTATTCATCAATTTAATGCAACTTGTACTTTGCTAAGATCATTTCGATGTCAATATCCATAGTACCTATCAAGAGGGGAAGAAAACAATCAAAATAATAAAATAAAATAAAAATTCTTTTTGACTCAATTAATGTTTTTTCTTTAACTAGGCCAAGTGTAAATGATGAATATGACCCTCAAGCTGAATTTAAACACGCCTATAACTAATACAACATATAAGTCAAGAATAACACTACATGCAATGCAATAGGAAAAACGTAATAAATAAGAGGGTTAGGAAATTAGGTTGCCTTCCAATAAGCGCTTAATTTATAATTTTTAATTACACTGTATGAAGGGACTAATCATGGTGGTTTACCCTGGAGTCTTGCACCCTTATAGTCCTTGTAATTTTCAGTTCTATATCATCTTTTTGACCTCCAAACCTCGAGCTCTCTATTATACTCTCTAGCTAGGCTTTGTCTCATTTGACATTTGATGAATTTCTTCAGCAACATATTTGGCCTCCTCCAGGACTAATGGTTGCTTGGGTGGATTATGTAATTTAAAGATCTCATGTGCATCCTCCATCCTCATAGTCAACTCACCCTTCTCCATGTTAATAAAAGTTCGATTTGTTGCTAAAAAGGGTTGACCTAAGATAATTGGCGTATCGTGGTCATCTTCGAGGTCCATAACAAGGAAGTCCGCCGAGAATATCAGCTTCCCAACCTTGATGAGCACATCCTCAACCTTGCCTCATGGGTATCTGATGCTCCTATCTACCAACTGCAGCTCGATCATTTGACTTTCCCAACTCCTAGTTTCCTAAAAGTATACAAAGACATTAAATTTACACTTGCATCTGTATCACATAAAGCATTAAAATGAAATTCTTTGCCTAGTAAAATAGGTAAAGTGAAACTCCCTGAGCTCTTGAGTTTTGGTGGTAATTTATTTTACAGCCTTGCACTGCCCTCCTCGGTTAATGCCACTTCTTCCCAATCTGGAAGTTTTCTTTTCTTAGATATCGTGTCCTTTAGGAACTTTGCATACATNCACTGCCCTCCTCGGTTAATGCCACTTCTTCCCAATCTGGAAGTTTTCTTTTCTTAGATGTCGTGTCCTTTAGGAACTTTGCATACATTGGGATTTGTCGGATTGCATTGATGAATTGGATGTTGAAGTGGAGTTTTTTTAGCATATCCAAGAACTTTTCGAATTGATCGTTGAGCTTTCTCCTTTACAGTCTTTGTAGAAAAGGCAGTGATGGCACAAATTCTTTAGTATGAACGATTTTCTTAACCTTTGGATCATCTGATGCCCTTTTTGTCTCTGCTTATTTGTTTTGCTCAGATTCCTCAAATTGCTTATTAACTATGGTATGTACTTTTTCTTTTGTAGCAATTGGTCTCTTTACATTAATCTCTGGCAGTTGAACTCCACTGTGGGTAGTTATTGCATCAATATGTTCTTTTTCAATGACCTTCACTGCCATTACCTACTGTTTAGGATTTATCTCAGTGTCACTGGGCAATACTCCTAATAGTCTCTTTGAAAGTACTTTCGCTATTTGTCCTATCTAATTTTCTAATTTTTTTATGGTAGTTCACTGAACTTGCAAGCTCTTATCCGTTCTTTGCATAGGTTGAGTAGATATTCCGTCAACTTAGTCACAAGATCTTCTAATGAAGACTTCTTCTCATTATGCTGAAAATTTGGCCGTGCAATTTGTTGTGGTACGGTCTGAGCACCCTGATTGTTACTCCATTGGAAACCTAGGTGATACCTCCGGCCTGGGTAGTAAGATATAGATTTTGATTATGTTGTTGCCTTTGAAAAATTTGAGTATAGTTCACATCCTCCAATGTCTGAATAAAATGAGACCTTANTCCATTGGAAACCTAGGTGATTCCTTCGGCCTGGGTAGTAAGTTTTAGATTTTGATTATGTTGTTGCCTTTGAAAATTTTGAGTATAGTTCACATCCTCCACTGTCTGAATAAAATGAGACCTTACATTACAATCAACACTTTCGTAGTTCCTTCCATAATGTTTACATTTCAGTCCCATTGTCTGGGCTGCATTTATCTGATCCACTTTATGTGTTAATGATGTCAATTGTGCTGAAATTATTGTCAAAGAATCAACTTCGAATATCCCTGCAGCTCTCTTTCCATTCGTCCTTTCAATAGACCAAAGTGCACTAGTGAATCTCAGATCCTCCGTGATTTGGTAGACTTTATCCGTAATTCTTTTTGTGATAGAACCATCGCATGCAGGGTCTACGTTAGTCCTGCTTATCAGATCCAAACCATTGTAAAAGTGCTGTACCTGAAGTCATTTCTACAATCTGTGTTGTGGGCATTAGCAGAGTAAACCCTTGTATCGCTCCCAAACCTCTTAATAACATTCTGAATCCAGTTGTTGGAATGTAGTAATCTCGTCCCTTAGCTTTGCAATCCTTTTCGGTGGAAAATATTTGCTAAGAAATTTCTGACTCAATTGGTTCCATATAGTGATGCTCTGAGGTG